AAAAAAAAAAAAAAAAAAAAAAAAAAAGAAGGCAAGCATATGGGAGAAAATATGTGAGATACACATACACACAAAGAGAGAGAATTATAATCTAAAATAAAGAACTCTGCAAGGCCAGGCGCAGTGGCTCATGCCTGTAATATCAGCACTTTGGGAGGCCGAGGCAGGCGAATTACCAGGTCAAGAGATCGAGACCATCCTGGCCAACATGGTGAAACCCCGTCTCTACTAAAAATATAAAAATTAGCTGTGTGTAGTGGCACACGCCTGCAGTCCCAGCTACTCAGGAGGCTGAGGCAGGAGAATCATGTGAACCCAGGAGGCAGAGGTTGCGGTGAGCTGAGGTTGTGCCACTGCACTCCTCCACCCTGCTGACAGAGCAAGACTCCATCTCAAAAAAAGAAAGAAAAAGAAAAAACTCTGCAAAGCAAAACAAAATAAAAAGCCACAATGAGGAAACCCAGTTTTTTAAATTGGCAAAAGACTTAAAGAGGTATGCCAGAAAAGAATATAGCCAAAGGGCCAATAAACATTTTATTTATTTTAACCAGGCTCAAGTAATTCTCCTGCCTCAGCCTCCAGAGTAGCCAGGATTACAGGCATGTACCACCATGCCCAGCTCATTTTTTTTTTGTATTTTTTTAATTATTATTATTATTTTTTAGTAGAGACAGGGTTTCACCAAGTTGGCCAGGCTGGTCTGAAACTCCTGACCTCAAGTGATCTACCAGCCTTGGCCTCCCAAAGTATTGGGATTACAGGCGTGAGCCACCACGTCTAGCCTATTTCATTTTATTTTAAGATAAACTCTACCTCTGTCATCTAGGCTGGAGCACAGTGGCACAACCACAGCTCACTGCAGCCTCAAATTCCTGGGCTCAAGAGATCCTCCTGCCTTAGCCTCCAGAGTAGCTGGAACTACAGATGGGCATCACCATGCCTGGCTAATTTTTAAATTATTTTTAGCCAGGCTGTCCTTGAACTCCTGTCCTGAAGCAATCCTCCTGCCTCAGCCTCCAGAGTGATTGGGCTTACAGGTGTGAGCCACTGCGCCCAGCTCCAATAAACATTTAAAAGATGCACAAAATCACTAGTCATCAGGTAAATGTACATTAAAACCATAATGAGATGCCACTAAATATCCTCCAGAATGCTTGTCGCTCTCCAAAGAGGCTGTCATTGCTCGTTATTGGCAAGAATGTAAAACAACTAGAATTCTCATCTTTTGCAAGTGGGAGCATATATTAGTTCAAACACTGGAAAGCTGTTTGGTAGTATCTGCTAAATCATAGGCTATAGCCCAGATATCTATAACTAAATATCCAGTGGGAATGACTGCATAGATCTTCCAAAAGACATAGACAGTAATGTTCATGAGATTTATTCCTATATTAGCCAAAACTGAAAACAACTCAAGTGTCCATTCATAGAGTGGATAAATTGTGCCAGAGTCATACAATGGAATAGTATACAGCAATTAAAAACATCCTATTGCTACATGCAACAACATGGGTGAATTTCACATACATAATGCAGAGGAAAAAACGCCACACACAAAAAGAGAACACTCTCATATACCATTCCTGAGCTACATGAAAAAAAAAGAGAATTAAAAATTTTCTTTATAAAGACAGGGTTTCACCATGTTGGCCAGGCTAGTCTTGAACTCCTGACCTCAGGTGATCTGCCTGCCTCAGCCTCCCAAAGTGCTGAGATTACAGGCGTGAGCCACCACACCCGGCCAAAAAAAAGAACTTTTGAATGACTCTGAATGACACCATTTATATGAGGTTTAAAAACAGGCAGAGTCCATCTTTACTTTTAGAAGACAGGATAGGATTACTTGCAGGGATTATTGACCAAAAGGAGTCATATTTCTGGAAATATTTTGTGTCTTAATCTGGGTGGTTATGCAAATGTATACATATTCAAAAATTCATTGAGCTGCATACTTAAAACTTTTGCATTTTACTGCATAAAAATTAAACCGTGGCTGAGTGTAATGGCTCAAGGCTATAATGCCAGC